GTGTGTGTGTGTGTGTGTGTGTGTGTGTGTGTGTGTGTGTGAATATGTTAAATGAACCATTTTATATGTTGATTATACTTGTTAAAACAAATAGAAAACGTTTCACATTGGAAAAAATACTTGTAACTATTTTAAAACATTTATAAACTTTGACACGGGTCAGTTTGACCCGCAACATAATAGGAGAGTTAATACAAAGCAACATTTCGTATGGAAATTACTATCTCTCCAAGGTTTGGTTAAAAATTAGCAAACCTGATCTCGCATTTACTTAGGTTCATTTTCAATAAATTTTTTGGTGACTTGTAAGGTTTAAGTTAATTTAACCATGCAAAGGTTTACAAAAAAATGACAACTATGTCTTAAGAGCACTTGTAAAGTGACAACTGTAGTTAAAAGAACAACAAATATACAGAGTGTTTCCTTCAGCTAATAGACTTATTAGCATTTAGCTAGTCCACTAAAATGCACAATATTTTTACGCTAAGTGATTTAAACATCCAAACATTTGTAATTTTGCGCGTTTTAAATATCATTAAAGACAACTCGAGTAGTAAATATAGTTAGTCGCTGTGAAAAGTTGACTCAGGCCGGTAAACTAAGTCAGTGACAGCATTTTAGCGTGTTGAGCTACAATGAGACAGCAAACCGGCAGCACTGAACACATTCATTCTTTTAAAGAAGTAACACTTAAGCTTTGAAGCTGGATCCGCAAAACCCTTTCATATCACCTCCGGTTTAAAAAAATACTAACAATCTTAAAGTTCAACAACAGCATTCCCTGGCTAAAATACAGAGAAAATCGAGAAAACAGACAAAAATTACACATACATTTTCAACCCCGTCTACGTCCATCTTGTAATGCACAGGCATCCGCTTCARGGAGGCCGTACTTCCGGTGAACGTCTTCTTCGTTTCCTGTTTCTACTTTAAATACACACAGCGTCCCCTGTGGTTCATTTGCTAAATTACAGATTAAATCGTCGGACTTTTAACACAAATGAACCGCGGGAAAATAAACACATTATGTGGGTTAATAGTTTCTTAACGGCAAATAAAGCATATTAAAATATAATTTAAAGTTAATTACTGATATTGCAAGTTTATTTCAGTTGTTACATGGAGCACTAAATATCAAAATGTATGAAATGAAAAATGCTTTTGCATCAAAGCGCGCAGCCAAACTCTACAGCAAGATGCATTTCTCTTGGTCTTTATTTTGAGGACTGGTGTTTGAGTCAAACGAGACATTCCTGTTGAAGCACCCGAGCCCTGCAACCAGCCCGAACATGCACAAGAAAAAAACTCCAGCTTAAAATGCACGCACAGGTTTTACATTTCAACTTATCCTCAAAACTATTACTGCAAAAAGACAAATATGCAGAAAATTAAAGGAGTTTATAAAAACAAATACAGCACAACACATATTTGTAAGTATATTTATTGTAAAAAATACCTCAAATGTATAAAAGATAAAGGTTTTTGAATGATAAACAACATGCAAACATTAATAAGAARCTGTACCAAAACATTTATGCTTGATTATTCAATTAATCAATAGCACAAAGTGCATTTTGGCACAAGAACACGGAATGTAAAAAAAAAATAAATCAAACCCATTCAAAATCTTTACAAAAACAAAAAGCAAAAATCATTTTAGTTTGGTCTTTTAGACCTGACACCACAGTTGAATTTCGATTTTAAATCAATAATAAACTTCCACAAAGTATTTGTTTTAAAGCATAAAACAAACTAAAAGCATGTAAACCTTTAAACCTGAAACAGCACTTTCTRAAGAAAACAGCTGTCGACAGAAAGAGTTCAACCTTTTCTGAGGTCTGAGTTCATGTCCCACTCGTTCCCTTAGTAAATTATTTTTATTCCACTAAACAGAAAACATTTTACCATCACAAATATTACATGCACAAACAATTTCCTGTTTTGATGTAAGAATATAATTATCTGTAATTAARACGGTTTTAAAGGTTTTTGCTGAAGTCACTTTTTAAAACATTTAATTTAAAGTGAAATGTACATTTCAAGGATGTCTCAATCAGCATGTMATACAATTACATTTATTGAACAAAAAGGCTTGAAAAGCTAAAAAATATTTTGTTATCAGACATCAGGCGCCGTCTTAGTTTTTAAACATTAACATACAACAATAAAATAAGCACTCGAGAGCAGGATGGTATGATCACCTCAATGTTACCAGTGTTTAAACAGTTTTCAACATTTTGTACCTTTAAAAGTAAGAAAAAARATAGATATTAGCAAAGATTATTTGAACAAGCTCAAAATCAAAAACAATGCAAAGCAAACATGTTCTAAAATGTTATACGAATCACTTTGGTCCTATTTTTGGTCTCATTTCTCAGCGAGGATGGCTTCGTGACTCAAACAATGGCTCTGATCCTTCCAGTTTCAGACAACCAGACGTTAAAGYTGGATCTGTTAACTAGGCCCAACGTGCCTTTTTAGGTGAGTCGGATCCCCAACACCTGCTCCAGCTCCTGTCTTCTCTGCTGCACCTGAAGCAAACAACCAACAACGCTGGTTCAGATAAAAGCAACGGCAAAGTCTGTCAAACACGTTTTCCTCACTTACTTTGGAGTAGACGTATCTGCCCACCGCCTCAGGGACCCAGGGTTCCTGGTAGAACTCGGTCCTCCTCTCCTCTTCTGGGTTTCCGGTCACGTCTGTCATCAGCTGATCAAACACAAAGACATCAGTCAACACGGGAGCTTCTCGTGGTTCTCAGAATCACAGAAATAGCATCATTTAGACCTCAAACAAAAAGGTGTGGACAAAAGCCTTTGAATTCTGTTTTAAATCTGAATTGTCTGTAGAGGAGTGAGTTTTACTCGCATCTGAAATGGACTAGACTAACATTTCCCAGATTATTACGCTTTAAGATCTAAATGCTGAGTTTACAGAAACAGGAACAATTGTAAACTTTTCAAATAATTTGATAGTTAGGCTTTCAGGTCATGCYGACTAATATCAGCTTTAGTGGAAGTGGCACTGCTGTGATGGAGCGTGAATGATGTGATGACAGCTGAACTCAGCTCCCTCCCTGCACTTCCACAGAAAAGGCCGTTCCTCCARTTTACCTTCAGATCTCTGCACTGAGACTTGAGCCAGTCTTTGATGAACTCTTGTGGATTGTTGCTGAAGCTCAGCATGAAGTCTCTCTCYGTCTTCAGCTGGTTAATGTACTCGATCGTTTCATGAATCTGTGCAACCGTAGAAGCAGATCATTATTATTATTTTTAATTAACATTTAACTCAGTGTTTATTGAAATAAACCTCTCGGTTTCACAAGTAACAGGCCCCACCTTCATCTCAAGAGCAGCGATTTCCTGTTGGTTGGTGGTGGAGGACAGGAAGCTGTTCATCTGAGCCTTCAGAGGGTCGTCCACCTCCACGTCGATGTCGTAACACGCCGTCTTCTTCTGGTCTGTGGGGTCCACGCTGCTCAGGGGAAACACAAAGTAGCTCACTGCTGCTGATGATCTATGACTGAGCTAAAGACAACAGAAGACTTTGCCACGTGGCCTCAGCTAAAAAAAAAAAMAAAAAACTACAAGGTGTTTCTTAATCTTACATCTAGATCTGCCCACCAGCTGTTTTATTTTTATTTTTATTTATTTTTTGCTCATCATAGCTGGTATAAAAACAGATTCATGCAAAGCTATAAACTGACAAATAAACCCCCACAAACACAGAAAAAAGCATAAAGACCTGCAGTCCTCTACCTGATGATGTGATTGATGATAATGGGGTCCGGGTGCTGCAGGAGGCCTGCCAGTTTCATGGGAATCTCAGAGAACCTCATGCGTGTGCAGCTGAAGATCTGAGCAGAGTTTAGTTCCAAAGTAGAACACGTTAAGACACCTTCAAGTTGGATCGTTTTTTTTTATATATATAAGGAATGTCAAATCATAAAGTAATGTGATGGTGTACAATTTAAGGTCATACAAAAACCTTTATAGTAATTTTGTTTGTGAAGATATGACACCAAGCTGAAAAATACAGTCCTTCTTGTTGTTTATCTACAGGATTAGAGGGATTTGATTTTTTTCTTGTTTTGTTTCATGTTAATTGAAGATGAGTATTGTTTGAGTTGATATTTGAGGAAAAAAAGGGGCAGATATCATGAAATTTTTTTCGACTCTCTGTTTCCTTTCATTTCAGTGTATTTGTGGTTTTTTCTTTTTTATATTTGTACATAGAATTGATTTGTTTTAAAGAAATATAATAGTTTAAAATAAAATAAAATAATTTCAGCAGGATCATGCTTCCAGCACACAGATGTGATTTAAGGATGGTTTACGGAACATAAAGCATCGACTTCAGATTCTCCACGTTGAATTGTGCCATATGCTAAACAAACAAATCAAATCCATGGAGGCCCCACCTCACCACTTACAGGACTTAAAGGATCTGCTGCTGACAACTTAATGCCAGATATTTCAGCAAACCTGAAGATGAAAAGTAGAATGTGTCTTTACAGGTCAGGTTTACTTTAAAATGTTATGGCCGATTGGTGCTTCGCTGTTCTTGTTTATTACCTCCGCCAAGGAGGTAATATTTTCGGTCRCGTATGTCTGTCTGTCCGGCTGTCTGTCTGTGGACAAAATTACTCAAGAACCCGTGGACGGATTGTCGTGGCATTTTTACCACATGTGGGGATTAGCCAGTAACACAACTTTACATTCTGGTGAGGTTCCGGATCACGATACGGATACAGGACTTTTTWAAATTTCTTTTARCCCTCTGAGATCGAAAGCTGTGATGCATTGRCAGGGCTTCAGTAAAAAACAGTGACAGCTTTCAGTGTTCATTTGCACTGGATTGAACAGCAATTTAATTTACTTCCAAATGAAACCGGATTTAATGATGAATAATTTTTGCCACACTGTGCGCATTTTTACGCATTTGGTGCGCAATTAGAGAACGCTGTGTGGCTTGGAAGTGCATCACTGCACCATGAAACCCATTTTTCCCATTTTCAAAACACACCACATTTCCCAAACAACCAATGAAAACAGTTTCTCGGTACTAGCCTTGCAGAGAGCTTCTGGCCGGCCCTCAAAGTTTGGACACGGGAGGAGAACAGATTCATTTTGGCATTTTGGAAGCTAGCGGGTTTCATTGATCTATATTACTGGATTGGACATCACGTGACTTATCGTGCGCCGCACAGGAGCCATTGCTATGCATTGAGTCATGTCAACAAAACAGTAGRGTTTCAATGCGGGACGCGCTTCAATCTGTCACAAAAATATTCATAGCACCCACAWTTTTTATCCGATTTCTATACAATAGGGCTTAAATTAAAGCTGAGAAAATTGCCGATGTTGTGATATGTAAAAAATATGTATTTGCTCAAGAGATAAATCTATAAGCAGTCTGGGAACTTTTCATTATAGGTTTTTGCTAACATATTTACAGTAGATGCCTGCTTAAATGTTCGCTACGTCAGAACTTATTCGGCAAATGTATTTCCATCTCTGCTTTKGCGCWTTTACTCCWTTACAGGATGGGGGAAATTRGTCTTGGCRGAGGTTTGCACTSTCAGAGTGCTTCTAGTTTGATATRATTTATTCATTTCAAGAGTCAATCCCTCCATGAGTGATAAAATGTATTCTTCACATGTAATTTTGTGAAAACCTTGSTTRAAATTGAAMTGTTACCTGTCTGAAATAGCGGTTGCAGTTGATGTACTCCTTCTCGTGGCTGTCCTGCAGCTTGTTGTTCTTGATGTAGAGCCACAGAGCCTGCATGATGCTGGCCCGAGTCTGTGTGTGCACGCCCAGGAGACGGGACAAACGTGGGTCCAGTTTGTACTGAGGAGGCTGAAAGGGAGGTAATGGATGAAGAAACGGTTGAACTCGGCCAAAGTATGAAACAGATAGTTCGTATCAGGAGAGCGGGCGCTACCTGGTGGTCGAGCATGAGCAGAAGGGTGCACTTGACGTTCACGTCGCCTGGCCTTTTCACCTGGAAACCGTCCGTCTCCTGAGTGGTGGGCATCCTGTGCCACTGGAAGAAAAAAATAATCAGAACAGACTATCACTTATTAAAGGGAGCCATGATTAGTTGTAACATTTGACTTCATTTAACAAACATATATTTTAACTGTAAAATAAAAACTAAAAATACTGTAGGATGTTCAGTTTTTATCATTTTTAAACTAA